TGATCATTTTTAAAAACACTTCATTCTGTAGTTCTGAGAGTTCTGAAGGGTTTCCTGTTTAACTTTTTTGAGAACTGCAATACTTTAATCTTACCATCATAATAATCAAAGCAGCGATGTAACTCTGCCTCATCAGGAACATCATGATACTACCCAAGGTGCCTTGCACTTCAGGGCTTTCCTCCTCCGCTTCCTCTCGCCTGGCATGGGTAATGGGTTGAACTGGTTCCTCGGGTATGGGGTCCTGAGGATGCCTCTGCATGGTGTTATAATTGGGCCTATCATTGGCTGACGACATCAAGGTCTGAAATAATGAATTGTTTGAATGGGTTTATAAATGGGAAATAAATAAATGGATGGATGAATGAATGGGTGACTGGATCAAAGGCCCATTATCACCCAAGATGCTTTGTGCCCCTCATCATTAGTTCCATGTTTACAAGAAATTATTTTTGACAGCTATTTCAGGTTATTCTCGGTTTGCACATGACGTCATCAGTCGAAGAAAATTCTAAAATCACAGACACACAACATTACAGTACTAAAATACTTTGAAGAGCATGATGGAAGTTCTCTCTGAAAGTTTCAAGTTTTTTTGCTGTTTATTCGTTGAGTTATTCACGTTCAAAAATATGTCACGCAATACTGTCACGCGACTTGAAACACGCCAAATTAAGCTCGGAAAGACTATTAATCTTAAAACAAGTATAGCCTCAGCATTAAATTGAATTTTTAGAATGATATTGTTGGAAAACTGAAGCAAAAACATTAGTTTTGAGCTCATTTCAACACTCGGAGTTACTGTCCGCATGGTTGGTGTACTGGACTTGTACACCATTAGGGCTTTCCCATACATTCCCTTGTAAAGTAAGACCGTATTCAAACGCTTATATTTTTGCTACAAAATGGCAGTTTGACTTCAAATTTTGCATAACTGTTGGTAATTATATGCTGTTTTTGGTCTTGAACATAAAAAAATCATTTCGATCTTAAAACAATGTCTTTTGTAGGTATTTCTTGACCTGTCTAAAACGCATTGAGCCGTGATAATCCCATACATTCTTACCAATTTTCGATCGCTCGTATTTCTGTTAAAAAGCATTATTTTGGCTCAAAATTTCGAAATTATACTTTAAACTAGATGTTCTATCGAGGACAATAATAACATTTTGCTAATTTGGCCTCTAAATAGCACTTTTAGAATGTCACGTGATTAGTGCAAACCAAGAATTGAGAAGTTGCTTAGAATATTCATTATGGGCTTGCTGAGCTTTCAGTGAAGTATGAAATGAAAATTTCACATGTAAAYCACCAAAAGCGACACCAGCTTCAAAGCCTGTATGGTGGAATTAACCAATCACAAAYAAGCACTTCTTTTCAACTTGACAACAAATGTTCTCAAAGCTTCCTGGGTGATATGGGGCCTTCAATGAATATTGGATGAATACTGTAAATGAAAATGAAAGTATGGTTGTTGGGATAAAAGTGTGAAATGGGAAATGAATGAATGATTAAACAGATGGATTAATGAATGGCAAAGGGTAGGTGGACAGATATATGGATGAATAAAGCACATCTTTACTTAGGAGGTATCCAAAATCTTGCATTTTCTGCAGATATGAAGCCATTGCAATTTAAAGCTAAGCAAAAACACCAGCACCAGCACTTATTTATAAAGTGGCTTGAAATTGAAAAATATTACTCTGAAGAAGAAGAGGCAAGAAAATGATAT